ATCCTAGTTTGTATGCACATCAAATATTTGTATGAATCTATTGCAGATTTGACCAGAGTTAGATGAGATGGCTTATTTCTGGCTATTTACCTACTGGTAAAACTTCACACTCGGTGTGGAGTATAACACTCCAATAAGTGGTGAGATATTCCATTCTCGATATTTTCTTTCCTGGAAACTTTAAGCTCCATCTGGTAAACCAATACGTACGGTGTCACGAAGTTACTTTTTGATGTATTCAGTGGATCTTTGAACACAACATAAGATAAACTGTGTTCGACAACAACAGATATTCACTAGAATGTGTGTTACCATAACAAAGAAATTCAAATTTTGATCAGGTCTTTTCAAGGACTAGACTACTTACACATATTCATCCTCATCTCAATATACTCAAATGATTTTGAGACACACACGTAATTTTATTGAAACGTTATGTTGAAAATCGCCAGCTCGAAAACCAGAAGAGAAGAATAATTGTCGGAATTCAGTTGAAATTCAAGGAAGCGATGCCACAAAACGGAGATGTGGTGAAAAATCATATTCGCAAATAGGAAATAAAGCTTTAGTGGAGAACGAGAGAAATGCAATGTTTGTTACGTGCGAAAACTTACGCATTAGGTTTATATATGATTCGAAAATGTAGACGTCTGTTGACACTGACTCGATCTAAATGCCTTTGACTTTGACTGGCGTATTTATCTGATCATTTTTTGTTATGGGATACCAGGATACTTTAATATCATACGTTAGTATTTTAGTGAGACACTAGAAGTGTATAGTGATCAGTTAATTGGAATTTCTTTACGCTTTAATTACTGTCCTTTCGACTTATAATTCTGAGGTTGACCATAGACTTTTCTTCTACAAGCATTCTTAAAAGTGTGTTCAGTGATGGCGATTGCACTGACCAATATCTTGTTGGAGAAATGGTGACTGCCTAAAATGCGATCTGATGCATAAGTACTAAAAGAATATCCACTGCTTGTTAACAATGGGATGAGTAAGGCTGTTTTCATAGGACTAAATTGGTTTTCTGAGTGAGTATTCAATGTCACTGAACAATCTATCACGACTATCAGTTGAACTGACGACTTAAGACGTATAGTCACATTACACTGAGTGTGTAGCGGTAGAAGACACGAGACTTCATAACGGAATGGTAATTTGGAATTTGGTGTCTGTGTATGGCGAAATTTTGTGCACCTTATCTAAAAGTCCTCATTTGCATGGATCTTCAGTGTTGTGCTACTTGACATCGTCACTGGAAATGCCCTTTTCGCCTATGAATTGAGTTTCAGTTATTAGATTCTAGTGTGATTATTCCTAACTTGTAAAAATGCAAATTTCAATGGAATATGGTGGCGTGCTTGAATACTAGGCTACCTGAATTCCCATCTGAGACAGTGTATCTTATTATCACTAGTTCTTGTTGTTATAGTCATTCAATGATGTCTAAATTTAGTCAGGCACATTTTAATTGGTTTCAAACCTACTGTTGCTGAATTGTCGGAGGGACCAAAGGAAAATACCACAAGGGATTATTTCATTGTCCAGGTGTAACAACACTGCGTCACATGATGTACTGGAGATGGCTGTTTCACTTGAAACTCCTGGATGACGAGGAAACATTATGCGATAAACTGCGCTGAAAATCATGCACAATAGAGCTATTCTCATCATCCTGTTAGGTAAGGGTGTGCTCGGATAAAGATGCCCTATCCTTTTGAGACATGGGGGTTGTTCTGTATGGCCTCGCTCTCAATCCCACAGTCACCATGCCTATCAGAATTTTTATCGATCTGTTTTTCAAAGTTGGGCTTTCGGCTGGTTTTCTAGAGGCTTTGAGTGGCGCTGTTTGCTATGGCTGCTAGGAGTATTTCGATGTAATAATTTTGATAAGACTAGGGATGTATTGAAATCTTGTCTTGGAATCTGAATTATTTGACTCTTTCACTTTGTGGTCAATAATTGACCTGTCAGCCTGTTATGTCTGCGCCTGCCAATGATACTGAACTGAATGTTTAGGATGGAAACCTAGCCTAACATTCGGCTTCAGAGACGAAGATACTTGACTAAACTTGATGCAGCCGAGATTTTCCCGGACGACTAGAGGATGATTTTGACACGAGTGTTACCACATAGATATACGTGATGCTTGGTATGAAATGAAACTATTTGATGAAGGTTACACGTCTGAATGTACCGAACTTACTGGATCATTTTTGAGAATGACCTAATATAACCAGTCGAAACCAAGTCATTTCACGTCGTGGTGGTTTGTTAGATAACAAAAATCACGAAATTGATCCTCGGCAAGTGGAACATGACAGCTGATCTTACGCATGTGCTTAAGCACATCTCCGGAAATATTCTTGGCGATATGATTTGTCGTATCATTCTGTGGGCACCCAAGTTTGCGCCACGTCTTTCAGCAATTCAAGGAAATATCTGACACTGTGTCCAACTGAAGATTAATAAGTTTGCTGTTAATAGATAGGCTTAGGTATTGTCGTCTGCTGGCAAAATGAACCCTGTGCGTTGCAAAATTAGTCTTTATTCGACGGTAATATTTCTGCTTGAAGGGATTATGTTGGTTCTTCGTAGGAGAGTTTTTCCGTGGTGAGGAGTAACCCCCTTTATGTCTAAAACTGTGGCACTTGCGACAGTTGTGTTTCTTGAAAGGATGAAATTTGCCTAAACGACACGGACCAAAGTACAAGCATACCAACGGTGGTTTACCTGAATTTTAGGACTGACGTTCTGTGTACTTTACGGTAGTTGGGGTAGTTTTCACTGCGCTAATTCAGCTAAATTCAGACGGCTGTGATTCGCACTCTACCATAGCAGTGTCATATTTCGAACTGATTAAATGTTAGCATTCTGCTGTCACCATTTTTAAGGTCATTTCCGAGTCTAGATCTACGAGCGATAAAAGTCGAATTCTAATGTCGGCATCTTCTGTACGCTTCAAACCACAAATGAAAATCAAACACTCGAACTCATCTGTTGTCATCTCGTGCATTTTGAATCCTTCACATTCCTTGATCACTTTGACAGCATAAGTGACACGATCGTCGGAAGGTGTTCATGTCAACTGAAAGCGCTGATACCGAATATTAAACGTGGGTGACTGTTCACCGGAATTTCGGGACAAAACGAGGACTGAATCATCGAATGACAATTCACGTGAGTTCTCTTGCAGAATGAAATTAACATATTTGTTGTGCTCAACAGTACCCAGTTTTCGCAATGACAATCGAACTTTATCAGCATCATCAAACATGGCACATTCAATACGAAAAACGCCTTCATAACTGTTGAACCATGCATCGAATACGAGATAAGATATTGGACTGTAACTGAACTAGGTGATAGAACTCGAGATGCTTTAATATTTACCTGAATGAGATACCAGGTGAACTTAAATGGACAGCTTCTGAGTGAGAGCTTCTACTAATTTATTTGAGTTGCTTCATTCTGAACTTGCTGCGACTGCAGGATGGATTTGAAATCATCCAAGGAAATGGATATTGTAACTGGAATGAAATTAAAACTGTTGAGAAGATGCTATAGTTGTGCTGAACTGAACGAAAACCCGTTGCCACTTTGTTATATCTGTACTGAAGTGAATAAACACCATCGCTAATTTATTGTGCCTGCGCCTGCTAATTATTCTAACGGTAAAGAACTCGACTGGTACGCTAATATGTCTATTTATGCATCGTACCTTCCAATTCACTGAGCTACGCAAGTATCATAAGACAAAATGTGGCCTGCGACTGCAAGACATTATATTGTATATTTATTAGGTAACAAATCATTTTTATACATTTCTTTACCACAATAAAGTCGGCTCACAGCTATGGGGATGGATTATTCTTAATGGCTGGAAATATCTATACTTATTGGGTTGACGACCTTACAAAGACCAAAGCGAGACAAACGATGATGAATTGATCACACACTAAATCACAATATGCCTGGGAAATGATAAATCCACATAGCAACTTCATCACAAGTTAAATCACAGGATTTGTGAGAAAGGACGATATACTACTTTGTGCTTGCTCCTATCACAGACGGATCAGGCGTGCTTCATTAAAGTGCAGAAGAAAAATTCTGGCGTTGTGACCAGTGCATGGATAACTTCTAACGAAAACACGGCTTTGCACACTTAAACAAAAGGCCTACATAGTTCCAAATACATTTGTGGTGAAAACGGAATTGGTAAAGACTCCTCAAGACGGTTGTATTTCAGAAATATGTCAAGCGTCGCTAAGTTTCATTGAAATACTCAGAGGCGAATGCTACTCGTGAACCTTGAGGGTCACGAAGAGTTTTCAACAGGTTATAAACTTTTATCATTAGTTGCCTTCACTAGCTCCATACTGGAGACTATATTTCTAGAAGATATAAGCAGTGAGAGACTTTGGGAATGAACCAGACGAAAGCATATTGCAAAAAAATATGTAGAAGAAAATAAGGATGGGTAGGACACAGTTTGTGGAAACAATTCGAGTGGGACCGACCCTACGGTGGGACTCGAATGGGAAATACCGAGTAGGGAGTCCAGGGGTGATATGAAGGAGATAGTGTAAGGAAGAGAAGAAAGCTTGTGGGCGGTCGTGTGGCTAGTTAAAGAGGACTTAAGAGGTATATTATGAAATGGAGAAGTTTTGTCAAGACAGAATACTAATTTAATTTTTTATTCTATTAACAGTACTCCGTAATTCTTAACTTTTGAAGTTTTTTTTGAGACCTGGACTTCTTCCCTACAAATGAAGAGAGCAATTAAGTTCAATACTCATTTCCTGAGACATAATCAAAGACTAAATTATGTTAATAAATGTAATAAAGTTTCTTTTATAGAATTATGAATTTGAGGAGGATTATAGGCTCTTAAACGTGCTATGCAACTTTCGCTCCTCATAAAAATTCATGACGTCACTTTCAATCCTTTCGCACAGTTTGTTAATCTTTTTACACAAAATTGAGTGATGAAAAGACCTTGACCGGTTTTTAAAATTCTTCGTTACTATTAGTTAGGGATGGCAACCCATACGGTTTTCCACCCGGATGATACCAACTCTGACAGTATTTCTTCGAAACAGAAACGTCTAGCACATATATTCCTCAGTCCTTTTAGGCGATTCAACCATAATTGCAAGAAAAGACCTAACAAGCAGTTATCAACATCTGGTTTTGATGAAAAAATTGTTGTGTTCAAAACAGATGACTGTGAAAAAAGTCCCCTCGACCATTCCTGTGAAGAAACAGGTTAGCTTTGAAGTTTCAGTGTTTGACCATATGGGTTTTACTTGTTTTTATGTATCACTAGAACACACTATTTTTCATGTCTGCTCACGAATTTAGTTACAATTAGTAGATTTTAGCTTGATTATTTTTAGTTCACAAAAAATTCATTTCAATGTTTGTTAAGTGTAATATTAAATTTATACTTGTTGGTTTCATGGCCTTTAATTTAATCAAATGGAAACAAACAGAGATATGCCAATTAGTATGTTTTATTGTTTCCCATTCTTCTCTTCAGTTATCACATGTGCCTAATATAATTTGTATTGCGTATATATTTATATATGTGGGATTTTTGAGGTCGCAAGTTGTCTTATTTCCCGTTTTCACTAAGTTAATAGTTTAGTTGGGATAGATATTTTTAAAATAATTGAAGTTATGACAGCATGTAACTTTCCTGAATTTCTGTTACTTAAGTTTACCCCCATGGTATTCTCTGCAGTTCATGTATTCGTGAGGGTTTTGTCTTCTCTTGAGATCACTTCTGACTGACGTGGCTGCTGAAACGTTAGCGGAGTTCAAAGCAATCGTTTGACTGAATTCTAAATACCATCGTGATTAATGTGTTAACATATCTTCTACTAATGCCAGTCGGAATTTTAGCTGTAAACATATTGGTTTTCGATAACATTCGACGTACTAGGCTAAGTCCAGCATTTTTCTCAAGAGTACAATAACTCAAATTACCTCATTCAATTACACATGAAGGTAGAAAATAAGACATAAATAAATAAAAAGGAAACTATAATAAACAGAATAGGTACATGGAGAATAGTGAGAATTCAATAAATCTAGGAGTTCAATAAGACTGAATGCATCTGCGCCATTTGTTCTTAGCATAGGTATGCTAGATTTGTATAATTAGTAACTGTTTCTGGTTATGGGCATTCTTCTGAACAGTCACAAATTTAAGCTATCTTATTTGATGTATGGAGTTGAATAAGGTCATTCATGGTTCGAATGACTGGTTTATGAGTGCTTATCTGTGCAGTGGATTACTTTTAACATTAGTAGTACTAGTTGGCTTTGTGTATTGTCAGAATGTCAACTAATGTGGTCCATAATGTCTGACTCGTTACCCAACAATCCAACATTAATCATCTGTAATCATTAATTTATGGAGGACTCCTATGTCATGATTTTTGAGTCGAAATAATTTTTCTCGTATTCAGCAACACATATAACTAGTTAGTCGCTACTTGCACATATTTTAGCCTATGAGTATAACACATGTTAAGCTCAGCGTTCTGGATCGAAAGTCAAGACTCGAAAATGCATTATTTATTAAATAGCACTGATATCTTTTCGAGTATGATCTGTTATGTAAGAGTAAAAGTGGATTATAAGGTCGTTTTAAAATATCTATTTATTCTGGATACTTTTTGGGGACATGAAAGTTCCTCTGCTGAATTACAGGTTGCATTTTCGATAGAACCTTTGCGCTAGTTTTCTCATAACACAGTTACTTATCTCAGCAACTCTTTGGTTTTTTCAGACAAACGTGAATGTGAAATTGTTGCTCCTTTCCCATATTATATTACGATTCCAAACTCATATTTTCTGTCTCAGTAATCTGATAATACCATGATCCTTTGCAAGGTTTGTGATTCTTGACTCACTAAATTAGAATTTTTAAAATTACTGAGTTTTATGCCACAATACAGAAGTCTTCAGGTAGCACTTGTACCTCATCAGATTCTAAAAGCTTTTCTTACTAGGAAGCTGTCAGCTTAAATGAATATTTTTCTTCAAACAGAAATGGTACAATATTAAATCGTATCTTTTAGGCAGTGAGATCTTCAGCTGTGTTCTTTTTTTGTCCTAAGTTTCTGTCTTGTGTTATAAGAATGAGTGGATATTGAGAACATGGCTTCACTTTGACTTATCCTCGCCCACCATGGTGTGTTATTACACGAATTCATATCTAACCTTTGCTGTCAGGTGTCAGCACATACCAGTGTTCATTTTACCAGTAAATAGGATCAATGAAGTCACTAGTCTGTATGAAATAGTAGAAACACTCATGGTAACTTAGATTATTTCATTGGTTCAGATACTTGACCTTCTTCCAGAAAGTTCAACATTAAATCCCCATCTCATTTCGATCTAGGCAATTATTTAATATCATAAGGCCTCATAATTAAAGTGTTCGTAACTTAGTTAATAGAAAGTCTGTATCTGATGCTTCATTTGCATTACATGACTAGTAATTTAATAGTAATTTAATATTTAAATTCTTATAAGATTTTTAAGGAGCAACTGAGTTTGAGGTGGTCTATTTAAAGGTCAGATGGGTGAATCATTGTATTTTTTCTACGTAGTCTAAGAGGTCCTCTGTTATTTTTCACCCATCAGCATTCATGAGTACTTTGATGCCGGTAAACTGTGCTCACCGAATGAGATTTGTTTTGTTGTTTAATTCTTTGACAGACTGGATTTATATTCATTGAAACAACACATAAGTGGGTGAGTACGGAAATTATGATGTAATGAAGTTTATCACATAAAAATGCATAGCCAACACGAAATTTTTATTATCGTTATAATCATTATCATGTTAAACTATCAATAAGTAGGTTCCTGATCACTGATTCCATAAAAAGAGTAACAGATGAATACAACGTCCCTAAATTCTATAAGTAGTGGTTATATAAGTTAAGCAGCTTGATTGTATCATTTGCTGTAGTTTTCATCACCACTCTGACATTTGTCTGATATTTTGCAAGTAAACTAAAAGTCAACTGTTACTAATAAATATGGTGGAGACTACAATTCTAAGTTTATAAGACTATATAAATCATGTTATTATTTCTTGTCTGTCACTTAGATGAATCACATTTTCTTCAAAATAATCATGAAAACGGGGAACTCTCTGTCGCAGTAAGTCGTCTGGAATCAGCATGTATAGTAAGTTTTATTTTCAATTTAATCATAGTACATAATACAGACTCCTGTGGATGAATACCAACTCAGTGAAACGCGTAAAGCACTTACCAAGATAAGTACAGGTGTTGGAAGGTTGACTACAGACGTTACATCAAGTCCCGATCACCATTCCATAACTTCATGTAAAAAGACCAGTGAAATGAAAAAGAATGTAACACCTCAGTCACCAACATGTTCACAATCGCAACCTTCATTTTCAAAGTCTTCTGGAAGTGCTTGTGATACATGTAACCAGACAACGATCTATCCCCCCAAGTAATTAAATTTTGTTGGTAAACTAGCTACTATAAGTAGGTTTTGAGGAAATTAGGGTTTTTTATGCTCATATTTATCTTATAGTAATTGAACCAAATTAAATATCTTTTTACAGTGTGAACATTCTAGATGCAGCTACTCGGAAACACGTGTCTCTTAGTGAATAACATTTGTACATTTTGGCAGAAAATACAATCATTTATGTAACCAGTTGTGAAATCTACAGTTTAGCTTACCAATAGCGTTTCAGATATACGCGGTTCTGCTGACTGAGGTTTAACAATTTAAGCTGCTAGACTTTGTGACTACCGAAAGGTATTTAAATACCTTATATATTCATGTATTAAAGTCACCTGATTGTTATTGTGGTGTAAACAAGGTATACTTCCCAATGAAAAGTGTTTTGCCTTCTAGGCTTTATCTGATACTAAAAGATGCAACTATTAGAAATTCTTTTTTCTTAATTTCAGAGTGGATCCAGTATTTTGCAGTAAAAGCGGTGTCAAAAACTTATCTGTTGCCTGCAATGCAACGTTACTACCTGTATCTAATTCAGACTTCTCTTTGGAGGAACGTCGTATTAGTTCTGAGTCATCTCATCATTCTGCATGTTCATTAGATTCTGCGCAAAATTTGAAGCTTCAAGCAGCAGTGTCTAACTCTCACATTTCCTCCAATAATTTAAAGTGTTCAATTCAGAATAATACTAATGGTTCGATTGATTGTGAATTTGAAGCTTATTGTCCTCCAGATTCAGTTGATGCAGCTGTTTCTACTGAATGTTCAGCAATATTGACTCCTAACTGTGTTCATTCATTTTCTTCCTCCTTATCAGTACCCCATAATAATGATTTCAAAGAAAGTGACCTTACTTCCAGCTCTAATCACATGCCTAAAAATTTACGCCTACCTAATCGTACTTATCCGTTTGGCAAAGAATGCCGCTTTATTTTCTATAATTGTGCAGATATCGATGAAGAAGATGCATATAATTTGTCCCCTCCCAATCAAACGCTTGCATCACTTATCAAGTCACGTCAAGAACACAAAGATATGTGGTTGCGAAGAGCTGATCGCATTAATCGATTTCTAGCCTGCAGACCTTGTCGTGATGACTTAATTTCCAAAAATATTATTCCCAGCACCACCCTGGAGGCTCGCGCTGAACTTCGAATCGATATTGAAGCTTCACTTGAGCGTCGACTTAACCAACGCCCTACAACAGATGAACTTCAGCAAAAGAATATCCTACATGGTAATTTCCCTGATTATTTGATCACAGTTGTATGCATCAATAAGTTTTCGTTCTGTTTATACTCTTTAACTTCTATTATGTGTTTACATAACAATTTACTACTATAGATTTATTCGAAAGAGATTCTTCCCGCCTTTATTCATCGTAGTAGGCAATACTGATCGGTGGTAAGAGCAGAAAAAGAGTTTGTTTAGGTAAATAACGAAGAGTTTGTTTGAGGACCACTCCACTTTCTTGTTAAATGGCTGTATCTTTGTTATTTGAATTTCTTAACAGAAATTGTTCTTAAAAGCGTATAAATATATAATTAATCATAGAAAAAGTGTATTGAAGAAAAGATATGAAGGAAACATTGACAACCTTGTCATCTCATTGTAATCCATCAAGAAGTGGGTCTGAAAACATGTTGTTTCTCTAAGTAAACCACCACAAGATTTTGACAGTGACCAGTTGTCTTCTTGCCTTCGCAAACGAAATTGTCGTCTCTGTGTTGAAAAATTTATGTCATTTTTCGCATTGCCCTCGTTAAACTGATTGGATGGGTTTCAACGAAAATTCTGCCTAAATTGCCCCAGGTTGATAAGTGTCTGTTCTTTTCTTGTAAGGAAAATATCAGTGGGGACTTTGATGTTAAATATTCAGACTAGATAAACAAATTATCATACGAAAATCGATTCGCCCAATAGTTTCAGCATGAATGGAACTAAAGACAGCCATGTATTATTTAAATCTGAGGCGTTCGCTAAAGTTAGCTGACTGTAGACTGTTAATCTGATATTCTGTTTATTTACGCCTAATTCCTTTACATAACTTTGAACTATTCAACTAACTGCAATTTAAATGTCAAACTTTAAGGATAGGTTTGACTAAACTCTGATCTTTACATTCTTAAAGATTTTCTGTCAAAATATAGTGATGCTATGAGGGGTTGATTTTTACATTTTAGTGTTTAGTTTTAAATAATATCCCCCTGTTGTTTGCACTGCTAGTCAAGTAAATCTCACTTCAATTTCGTAAATAATGTTATGCGGTGATTGTACAGCTATATAAGCTCACTTTATTCATTCAGTAGAAAGATCTTTCTCACCTCATTTATAGGTGACTGTTGAAGCCTACCATCAATCACTCGATCAATATCTTAGTTGAATAATCATTGGTGTTTGGTTTCTTCTTAGGCTATTCTGAATGCTAACTTTTTATTCCTTGGCATTGGTATGTTGTACTTTCTGTGCAGTCTCAAACTCCGCGTTATTTTTTGCTGTTATTAGGTGTACTGCAATCAAGTAGGCTCAGTTGGTTTATTGTAAATCTAACCTTAGTTTATTTCACAAATATTGACATTCTTATCCAACCATACTGGCTGGAATACACTTCAGATGTGAGTTAACAACTAAATTATTTTATGATGTTTACGCATATTCCGTAAGTTCTACACATGGACATGTATGTACCTACCATGCAATATACTGGGTGGTTGTATGAGATACATCCTATTTCATAATAAAGTCAATTACAATTGTAATGACAATAATTAAAAAAAGTAATTAACTTTAACTCATTTCATAAATGTTGCCTTCACTTTTAGTTGATACAGAAGAAGTGCGCAACAGGATTAAAGAAGAACGAAAGCAAATTTTAACTCGCAAGGTGAATCTCGTTTTTCTGTGTGTCTTTATATTTCTGCGTATATTAGATTTGGCAGTATTTTTTATTGTTGCTATGTGACTGATCTTCTTATCTGTGAACAGCTTTTTATTGCAGCTGAAATAATGGTGTTCGTTACTCTGGTCGATTTCGATATTTCGGGAGTTGACTTGTTGCCAGGGAAAAGTTTCGTTCATCTAGAGTATGCGGATGATAAAGTCCTTGTAGGTGAAGATACTGGCATGTCGTTTGTCCATATCCTATTTACGATGATGCTACAAGAAATGAAGGGAAGTAGTTGAATACTCATACCACTTTACTTGTTCGAGCAGTCGGATCAGCCGTTACGAACTAGTTGGTGACGAAATCACATCACGGATACAGAAGGCTCATATGGCATTTTCTAAATTTTTTCTTATCTGCCAACATGCTTAGCTATCATTTAAAGAATGTGTGTAATGTACGGCATTGCACTCCCTCCTGTTTTTCGTCTGTGAGACATGACTATTTGAGGGTGGGGTAAATGGAAAGATTAGCCGTTTTCCCACCGCAAATATTAGGTGGAACAATATGTTCAGTAACAGTGGGGTTAGTCTTATAGTGTTAGGTAAAGAAAGATAGTCTATCTGTGAGGTCCTGAAGCTACATCCATTGAGGTAGTTGTGACATGTGTTACGCATGTCGAACCACTACCTTGCCTAATGAGTAGTACTAACTGGAATGAGAATAAGTTTAAAAAGAAACTATTATTAGGTTATGAATTGTTTGACCTGTTGGTTCTTTCTAGGTTTTACTTTTCAGCAGTTGAATATCGTATCGAATTTCTCTTTATTCGCTGGATTGATTTGGATATAGTTACCTAGTTATAAATCAGGGGCTAAAGTCAGTGGGCTGACAGTGATATACGTTTATAAAGTCATTATGTATATAATTATCATAAACTTACAATTTAAAAAGCCATCAAATGATGTATATATGAATAGAAATATAACACACTGAATTCACCTTTAGAAGGTGTTACATGGAAATAATGAGAATCTCACATATTTTGACTGGCTGAGTCTCAACCTTGAAATTCGCACGGAAGTGCATGAGTTCAAGTTGCCACATTGCATGTAACACACAAAGGTGAAAAAAGAAATTCAAAGGAAACACGATGAGCAGAAATGTACAGGAGAAAGGATAATGACATAGGAAGACACTGGTTGACGAAAAAGGCAGTGGCTTCGGGTGCACTAACACACACATGTTTTAGCTATCTCAAACGATATTGGTTCACAGCCTTATTGATCAACTTTCCCTCCTTAACTAACACTCTACACCTAACCTTAATATTACTCAACATATTATACGGGAGGTAGAATGCAAACAACTGTGACCAAAGACATCTAGCTTCTTCATGTTGCACACTTTCAATGGCAACAGTTACAAAGAAGAGCAGAGCGAACTACTGCTCAGTACACACGCCCTTTGAATGATCGCTGGATGTCTCACCTCACGTATTTATTGAGATGGATTCCGGATAATTCAGAATCTATGTGATTATGCACCTGAATTACCACCTACTGTCAACTAATTTACAAAGACTGCCTCGGTCATCTGATACGAAACTGATTTTTTTCTACTATAAACAACGTGATGTAGAGTCTTTTATGTCATTTTAAAAAATCTGAATACTGTCATCTGATAAGCAAACAAATTATTTGTTTGTTTTTTCGTCTTAGTCATATACTTGTACATTACTCAGGTGGGTTATGTACATATTTTATTATAGGATAACTATCGGTATGAGTGCGTCGGTGTCACAGTGGTTAGGACGCTCGCCGACCATGCACATGGTCCGGGGTTCGATCCCCGACCGATGCACTTCTTTACCTCGCTAAGCCAGAAATAAAGCTGGTAAAGAGGAAAGGTTGGGCATGAGGCTAGCAACTCCATCATGTAAAAATAAACACTGCTACAGAAACTTCAAGCCTCCAGATTGAAGCCCAATTTTCCAATCGGAACGTGAAGGGATAAAAAACTATCAGTATTATGTGTGTGCAGTGCTTCAGGTAATATAAATAATTGCATCGTCTTATATATATATATATATATATATATATATATATAATCCATATATGATTTTACTCACTTTAAAATAACACCAATTTTCGTAATTCTTACTATTAGCGCTTGTCAGTGTACGTATATATTGAAACTTACGATTTCTCAACAACTGATAATTCACTAGGATTTAAGTAACTTCAACAGTTGATTCTCCATTAGAACGAAACACACACGATGGATTTCACTGTTAGCCTCCCATCCAACATTTACATATTTGTGAATATGCGTTGTAATTCATAAACACACACACACACTGTTTGTATATAAAAGAAGTAATGAGGTGGGAATCTTGAACTAGTTGGAAACAAGTACATCTCCTTAGGTGTTAATAATTAGACTGTAATTTATTCAATAAAAGACCTATTAACTATCACAAATTACACGTTAAAGTGTTTATGTTTTAGATAGTGTTAACAGCCTTTATCTTACAGTGTCCGTTTGTTCTTTAATATTGAACTGTTGTCTGGAAAACTCCAGACTTCTGTGCGCAGGTTTGCCTGTGATAATTAGTAGAGTGGAGTCATCACTAAATTTCAAAAAGACTTTCCTTTGTAGTCTCAGTTATAAACAATTTTTATTTTTAAATCTGATTTTTTTTGGTCTGAAAAAAAAATCGTATTTACAGTATTTTTTGTTCATAAAATATCGTAAGAAGCAAAACAAGTGGACACAACATAAAATTGAACGGTGAATGTCAACGAAAACTGAATATTGATCAAGATACGATAGGGATCTAATAAAGATGGTTAAATTTGAAAATTAACTTGCGTAACATACATTGATGAAATAGTTAACATTACGTAGGAAGTGAGTTGAATGAAATGAAATTAGTGTGACAGGTGAAATGTTTTGAAACACGCCACTAAAAGACAATGAAATCATGCAATCAGCACCGATTGAATGAGTTTCTATGGGTTGGCAAAGCATTGGCTCCTCTCTTCGGGGATGGCTGAATTTTCAGTGACTACTTTCACTAAATTTTTATCATATCCTAACCCGTTTTCACTGCTGTTAACAACTTCATAACTTTGTTTATATTAGTATATGCAGGTCAGACAACACCACTACACTAATATTTGTTACCACGTTGTTTAAATAAGAAAGTCATTGGGGACTTAAAAGGTACTGCTGAATGCGTTCACCAAGGGAACTGCAATTCTGTGCATCTTTGACAAATGGAATCACTGCAAAGAGCCTTTTTACTGGACCATGTGTTTCCTTTTTCCTACATAAAGAGAAAAAAAGGACGTTTGCAACCGAGAAAATAAATTTTTTTTTCCAACGAATTTATCAACTAGGCTGCACACTCGTTAACATGTATATACAATATATGATCAAATGGATTAATATTTTTGACATATCCTTATTGGGGAAATTTTCCCGTCAGTACTTTCGTTTGTGTACGAAATATTTATTGCTTTCCTCCCGTTATCGTCACTACAGACCACTAACACACATACTTTTCAAATCTGTACAGAAATATCATAAAGTAGATATTAACATACACACTTAGCTGCTGAAATTATCATACAGACAGATTGTAGCACTAAGGTATTCCATATGCATAAATTTGTTATTCCTAAAAGACTGACTAAATTGGTGCAAGTTGACGACGGAGTCAATAAGAGATGGAAACAAAACAAATAGTCAGGTGAAATAAAACGTATCGAACAGAAAAGATTATTATTATTCCTTTGGGTTCTGTGTAAAACATAGGGCTTCGGTAGAGCAAATCTGCATTCCACTTTGTTCTCTGCAATCTATAAGCTTATAATTTTTCGTGTCCTCTTCAAACTATGTAATAGGGAATAATATCATTCACTTAGACTGTGCAGATGACATACTCCTTCTAGCTGAAGACGCTGACGAACTGCAGAGCCGCCTGAATACCTTGAACAGCAATCTTCAAATATTTATCATGCGATCAGGCTGGAAAAGAGCTAGTCGTAGTTAAAACAAAATATGGCTTCATCAGTCAATGAAATCCACAACAGTTAGTTTAAGCCAGCCACGTAGGATGGTGTGGACTTCCTCACTGGTTGGGGTCCTCGGGATGGTAAACACGAATGGCTGGAGACAATTGGTGATATGGCTCAAAATCGTTCTCGACAATGGCGCAGATGCATCCGCTCCTTGTGATTTATAATATTCAATAAAACTATTGTTCTTTGATATTACTTGCTTGCTTCATACCTCTGTTTAGTATCTCTTTTGATGAATCTCTCTTTACTCTCTTCTCTTGCTTTGTGTGCGACATGGAGGGAGTGTGACAACTCGAATAGCTGTACATCTGTGCAAAGTTCTATGTTGAAACCAGTCAGTCTTCAGACGGTCGCCACCATATTAGTCTCGGAGGCCCAACATCTCATTTCTCATTTAGAGCTGCAATTGAGGGCCAGCCTGTCGCGTCATTTCACTTAACGGTCTCCTCAGCGTGTGTCCACTCCATCTCTTTTTCCCTCTACAAATTTATTGAACAATAGGCTCTTGTTTGGTTCCATTGTCAGAGTTACTTGTTATTTATCTTCAACAGAAAAGATACAATTGTAACGTTAAATTATATAGTTTGACTGACACTGGCATGTTTCGATATTTTATGCAGTATTTCGTAGATAAAACCAGAAGTAATGATCAACCAATTTAGACGTAACCTGCTACTGTGTTCCCCAATTGAGTCAATCATTTTAAAGCTGAAAATTCTTGACCAGATGAAACACTTGTAAATACTGTTTTGATCCTATTTTATCTTTACTGTTTTGTTGCAGTATTAAATAGAGCCTAATTCCATCAACACATATATGCGTTCAAGACAGGTACGTTGCTACATTAGCTGAGTCGTTTACCCTAATCGGTTGTCACAATATGGCTGAACAAGTAATAGGCAAAACGGTGTT